GAAATAGTGAAATAAGTAAGTTAAGGTATTACTTGTTACAATTTTTATAAGCATGCTACTTTAATTGGGATTCATGATTTTGGGAGGCAAAGTAAGCCGGAATCATGGGCTCGATGCATTGGAACGGCAGCATGAACGAAGTCATATACCGCTGTTTAAATCAGAAATCTGCTGGTAGAGAATGAGGATTCTGTGAAAGAAGGTTTTTGTCAAGGGAGAGCAGACCCTGAAGCCAGGATAGACAGTTTCAGGGAAATTACCTGATGCACAGTTCTGCTTTGCAGAACCATGGAGTTACTTGGGACGTAGAGGCAGAAATATGGAACGAGCTAATATCTTTGATTAAAGAAGTTACCCACCTTCTGTGAAACTGATACTCCCAACGGGTCTGCCTCTGTGGTAAATATGGTTTGTCTAACAAAGCCTTTCTTGGATAATTTGCATTAGCTTGTGCTGAAGTGTTTACCACCGGTGATTTTTAGTGGCCCAAATACTGTAGAAGTGCTCTGACTACATGGTAATAAACTATGTCTGAATGTCCAAATGAATACAGATGTTCAGCTACTAGTCTTGCATCTCATCCAAGAAAAAAAGTCAGAAATAGCTCCTAAAAATGAAAGCTTTTTATGGCAAAAATAAAGGCTGTCCGAGAACACAACACAGAGAGTGAGAGCGCAGTTTGCAATACTGGCATCAAAGAACGTAAGTGGAATTGGTTGAAAAAGAATCTGAAAATACATGGAGCATTTGTGTGTGGTCCACAAGATTTAAAGCGCTTTTTTCATGGCACTAGTCACTATTCTTTTTATTGCTTTATCAATAAAATGGGAAACGCTTAAATTGATAAACAAAAGAAAAAAAAAAGTTGATACTACCCACAGTAAAAATTATTTTTTTCAAAGGCCATTTTATAAAAAACTTGCCTTTCAAAGTACTTATGACTAATTTGTACATGATGAAAAAAACACTTTGTAGACACTAAAATAGAAACAAATTGGCTGCACTAACAGGTAAATATTATTTAAATGAAGATTCTTGTTCCATGTGTTTGATAAACTCTGAGGAGAGGATTTATATCTCTATAGCGTAAGCTAACCTGGGTTTTGCAAGACTGCAGTTCTGATTGTGGGAAGACATATAGATAGATAAATAGATATTTAGATATATCTAACAGCAACTTTGGGAACGGTTTTAAAAATGTTTCTCCTAACTGCAAGCTGGGAGAAGTGACAGTTTTCCTCTGGCACTGGGACAGGGCCCATGCTAGGCACGGGTGTATTATATACTGCTGGAGATGACAGCTTTCAGACGAGAAATACTCAGGTTGCTACCTGTGGAGTTATTAAAGACCATGTCACACCCCCCATTAAACAAATGAATTGTGTCTACCTAATTAGTGCTCAAGTAAAATGTTTATTTTGTTGATGCTTTGGTTGACTTGTTCAGGATTTTATCCTGTATGTGAGTAGCTCTAAATTCTTTAAGTGAGAGACCCTCTTTGCAGCTCAGATAGCCTCAGGTGCTGGTGTGATAGACACATTATATGCAAAGTATTTCTCTCAACCCAACTGAGTTTAGTAGAACCAGAGGTGACAGGCAGGAAATATGTTCATGCGTATGTTTTTATATTGTGAGATTAATGTTATTGAGAAGTTTCTTAAGCTTCCCATGCAGGTTAAGGATTAAACCTTCAGGATTAAACTTTCATGAATCACTTAAGAAAAAAAATTAGAAATTTTCTATGCACCAGTGAGTTGTTAGCAGTACATGCAAAATGCCTTTTGGAGCTTGGATCTTTTTAGTGTGGACATTTTAGTATTTATTGCTTTTCTTTAGAGAAATTGCTCTTTTTTTCATTCACCTTACATGAAACTTAACTCCATAACCAAAATGATATTTATAAAATCAATCACATCCTCATTCTCCATTCTCCCCAAGCTCACTGAAAGAAGGGAAGAACAAACCCTTACTTAAGCAAAAGTAGAAAAGAATCTAGAAGTCCTTGAAGTTCACTAGGCATAACATAGTGTTGCAAAGAGGGCAGAATATGGCCTTTATATAAGCTAAACTATGCAGCTTTTGTGCTTGCCGCTGCACAGGAGCATACAAAGAACGTGTGTGTGAAGGGTGTAATGGTCTGAGGTTTGACTCTGGGGATGGCAAGTTCAGTTGTCCCCATTTCTGTTCCATGATGCAGCAAAATCTTTCTGGCCCAGAACTTGACGTAAAGTGAGATAAAACTACCTCTGCCTTCCTAAGGTTTGAATTTTGCCCTACGGTCCACATTTTCTAAATATAGAATCCAGTAGCGACAGGAACAGAGCAAAAAGAGGTGCAAGAAAAGGGCAAGGTCAGGAAAGGAAAGGAATGGAGGTGAACACAAAGCTTCCACATTGCTTCAGTTTTAAACTAAACTCAGCAATCCGTGCTTTCTTACCCTTAAGTCTTCCATCTCGCTCCCAAGGCGAGTTTATTTGAGCCCAGTCCATCACACAAATAAAGACAGCCCTCGTATTTTAAAGAGGTGTCAAGTAACTACTTCTCCTAACCGCCTACTAGTGAAGGAGAACTGGGCTCCGCTGGGCCTCCTTCCCTCTGGAAGAAAAAGTGATGGATGGGGGTACACAAACATATGCGTGCATGCCTCCTGCATCCTGCTTTGTCAGCACTTGGCACACTAATACAGCTCCTGGCGACCTCAGCGTCCTTCAGCCAAGACCAAGGAAAGTTGTGAAATACAGAACTGAAAGGTTTTTTTACTTGTGCATGCTGTAACGCAGGAGGAGTCACGGGTACAACAACAGAGACTAGATAGGAACTTTCTTGTGTTGGTTCATTACGTTATTACAACCTTTTTTAAAAAAAGGATCTGCAGAAAATAGGTGAAGAACATTTATATCTTATCTGTGATTGATTTTTGTGTGATAAGAAACTGCAAGAGCAATAGTGAACACTTAGACAAGAATCTCTTTTGACTTAGAGATATCAAAATACATTGTGTTCAGTATCATTCTTTTCAGGGCCACTCCAAGCCTTAGAAGAATTGCCACTTTTGCAGTCAAATCCAAGTAACATCTGCTCTATGCAACCAGTCAATATTGTGGAAAAGTTCAAAGAATGAAGATCATTAGTAGTGTCAGCTTTACAACCAGAAGGTAATGGCATTAAAGTGAGCAAGTATAATACCCAACAATACCAGGCTCATTAACCAGTGATTTATCATGATGAAAAGACCTGTTTAACCTTTAGTCTTCACATGCTTTCTGTTTTTAACAAAAAGACCTATTATTTCTAGTTGTCAAGTGATAATTTGTGGGTTGTTAAAGGGATGTATTAAATTATACTTTAAACGATTATGCACAATTACACAAATATTGCATTTGCAATGGGATAAGTTGAAGATAATATGATTTTTTACCCCCTTCTTTTCATTTTGTTCATCCATTTGGAAAATAAAGCGAAGGTATTATATATATTAAGGATATCAGTATGTGACTTTTAAGCAAGTTAAATCGAGTTTGATGTGTGCAGCAAGTGACAACGTTGTTTCACAGGAGGAGCAAAATCCACATAAAATATTTTGAGGGTTGTATATACCAGTGCAGAAAGCTTGTTCTTGCCTCTGAATAAACAGGTGCATGTAGCTGACCGTCCTGTAAAGCTATGTTTCTTTTATCCACATGCTGGGTTGTTTCATTAATTTAATTCAATTTTTCTTGGAAAGGAAGCACTGTTGATTCTAGACAGCTTTTGACAGTTGCCATGTAACCTTGTATACAGCAGACCAGCCAACACAGCTTATTCTGACCTACAATATCCGTGCCTTGCCAGCAATAAGCCTCTCTGAAAATGTCAGTTCTGTCAAATTGTGCCGAACTGTATGGTGGCTTTTGTGATGTAGACAAACGTCCATCGAGGATTCGAAAGACCACGAGACTCATTTCAGATCTAGTTAGATCATTTGTGATCTAATTCAGATTCGCCTTGCAGATCACTATGCGTAGTGTGTCATCTCCTGTCTAGTTTCACATTTTTTCTATCTAGCTGTCTGGTTGTCTATCCTTAGTAAAATATAAGGATAAATTTATAACAGATTTGGTAACTTTCCAAGTATTTTTGTAGACAAAGAGATTCTAGACACACAAACTAACCTGCACAAGTAGATAAAATAGAATGATTGTGGACTTCACACCTGTTTTTTATGCCTACCTTTTGAATGTCATACATTCAGATGTATTGACGTTTCACATACCACTTTGAGAAAAGCTAGTCAGCATTTAAAAAGTTAATAGGAACAAATTGATATTGTCAAACGTGGTAGTAGAGAGGTCATATACAATATTCAAAACGAACAATCCAGAAGGATTTTCTGATCTGTGAGTAGATTTTGTGATTTTACAGTTGGAAAGCAGTTTGCTAATTTACAGATAATGCAGTATCTGTGACAGAGTTCTTCTGAAGTAGGTATGTAACTGTAGTACCTTTGAAATGAACGGAGATGTAAGATGTTTTTTTTCCCTCAGGCTTTTTTAACACAGTTTTTCATCTATTATTGAGATGCACACTTTTTAAATTATGGAGACTCCAGATCTATAGATCTCTGTAGATATCTTTGGTATAGATATGTGTAGATATCCTCTTTCTTTGCTTACCTACAATACTAAAATATTTATCTCGGTTTCCTGCTGTGAATGTGTTATATGAATTTTGGGGGAAGACACTGAGAATGTTTCATTCTTGGTGATGCTGACCCTCATCCCCTTGGTGATCATTCCTAGGTCTGGATAAACTTTTGGGGATGTATTATTATCCACCAATATTGCTGTCTTGCTGCATTTGAGAAAAAGTTTGGACTGAAAATAAGCCATAGTGATCCCCTTTTATCCAGTACTGTAGTAATCGCATATTTGTTCATAGTTTTGGAGTGCCAGTTTCAGTATTCTCCTCAATCCAGGAAAAATCAAATCTTTCTCTTCCTTCTGCAGGGTGACTGCCCTAAGCACCATGGCATAAAACAACGGAGAGGGTGAGGTGAGTGAGGTGAGCTTCCCTTCTTTCTTGTAAGTGGTGCTTCACTATGTATTAAATAAATATTCAGTGAGATAGGAAATGTAAAATAAGACTCGAAGAGCCTCATTATTAGGACACTGGTCTCAGAGAAAAGATACTTCTGATGCTGGCTTCAAAGATCATTGACTCTTTATGCACAGTGGAATTGCAGTAATATGAGAGACTGGCGATCATACAGCATCCATGCCATCGTATATCCTGGTGGTTTTAGTCCTTTCTGTAGAAGCCCTTCAGGTCCTTTCAAGGAAGGGAAGGATTGAAACGAAGTCTTCTGAGTGAGTGACCTAACCACTAGGTTTCTGAAGGGACATATGTCAGCCAGGATTTCTCTGGAAATACCCTTTCTCTTTCCTGTTTTCCTTCCTTTTTTTAAACATATGCTTCATTCCAGAGCATTTAAATTTAGCTCTGAATGTTTTTTGATATGTTTATGCTTTATTTTTGATCGGGAAGCTAAAAAACCCCGCGAATCTGAACTGTACTCTTTATATCAGTTGAACTGAAAAGTCAATTACTTGCATTTTTGAGAGGATCAGGCTCCTAACAGAAAACAGTGCTTTTAGTAGGATTAGTTCTCAGTACTTTCCCGGTGATCAAGTAACAAACGTGGATCCTTCCTTCTGTAGGCAACAGCCACTGATGTCTGTGGTTGCCGCAGGACTCGGCAGTTTGGGTGAAATTCAGGCCTCATAGAAATTTTGCCATTGACTACTGTAGGAGCAGGGTCTCAGCTTTTGTCTTTCCACTGCAGTCTGGTGGGGAGGGGGAGAGGAGGGAGAGACAGACAAGTCTCTGAAGGAAAGAAAAGAGAAGCCAACTTTTATTTTTTTTTTTTTCCTGTACAGTTATAAGATTTGAGCGCTTGACTGCACTGCCTTTAAAAAAGGGACAGGATCTCTGTCTCTTGGTTTGCAATTTTGCCTGAAATCAAACTTTCAATACATTTTTGCCTGTGGAAAAAAGGTTACGGTACAAAATGTGAATAGCATAAACTTGTCATTTTCCTTTGAAAATGTGGGAAATACCTAAATCTTGTGTTTGGCTTTGAAAAATTTGTGAATTATCTGGTTTGTGAATTCTCACAGGGAGGAGCTAAAAAAGCAAACGAGAAGAATTTGGTAGGTTCAGATTTTGTGTGCAACTATTTGTAGCACTGTGGTGGTGATACCAGATTAGTTTCACAGCTGTAACAAATATTTGCTCTTTCTGGGTTCTGTTTTGTGAGTTCCCGAATGTTCTGACTCTTACGGACCAGACGGTTTCCGGGTATGTTATCTCAGAGATACCCCACACGTACAAGTGCTTTCCTAAATCTGGGTTGAAATATGCACCACTGAATCCTGTGAGGAAATACGGTGGATGAGATCAGAAGCAGCATGGTGCCTGCAGTAGGATTGCTTGGAAACTGGAGTGTGGTTGAAGCATCATCTGGATTTTTCTTCAGGGATGTCTATCCAGTTAGATGGATTTATAATAACTTTGCAACACTGAAAAACGGATATTCTATTCTTATCGAGAAAAAAAGATACGAGCCGATTTTATTTGGTTGTTTTCAGTCTTACTTGCTTTAATAAACCAAAATTGTACCATAAACAGAAGTAAAGGAAAATGACTAAAAGACCCCAAGAAAATGAAAAAGATGGATGTATTTGAAAAATACGTTGTGCAACTGCTTTCAAAGAGAGCTTAAAAGCAGCACAGAAATAGCGAGCGAGCGAGCTCAGCGGCTTGGCACATCGCGTAGTGTATATCTACATACACATTAAAATGCACTCGGTCTCAGAACGGGCTTTCTCCACTCCCTCTACCCCCCTCCGCCCTT